AGTCAGGCAGGAAAGTTTGATCGTCAACTTAATCTAAGAAGTGGATGCTCATCTTGTTTTCAATGTCCACACTTTCCACAGCCTACAAGCAGAAACAACTTCAATTAGCAAATACAAAAAATAGGCTTTCTGCATACGCAGTACACTAGAGTGAAATAAGTAAAAGATGCGAGATATAACAGTTGCATTGCAACACTGTACGTTGTAATTTCGGCTTACGCGGTCCTTGAACAGTAGCAGCGCTGTTCATGATAACAAATTACCACCGTCAAATACACGAAGTCATTCTATACGGCTTGAGACACATTCAAAAGACACTGCTCCGCATGATCAAGTAGCATGGATATCATCGTGCATTAAGTTTGACGCATGCTTCTTACAAACCCTGCGACTGAGGTGGTCACCAGTTCTGTACCCTCAATTAGTACAAGTAGAAGCATTTCACAGTAATGGAAACCCACATACAGCAGCGAAATCACCTCAAAACGATACTTAGACCTAGATTCCACAAGTAAACATTAGTCATCAGTATTTCCTTTACAAGTAACAATTTGACACGTCATGTCACTTTTAGAGTAAAAAAGTAGTACGAAGACAAGTGTTATCGACAGTGTGAAAGAGAACGGATTCCGTGCGCCCCCATCCGTTTTGACATTTCAATCACTAATGCCACCCATAAGGCATCTTTCACGCAAATTCATGTGCAGCAAAGGAGCGTTTTTACCTAGGTCGCCAAGCCGCAGTCATTAGAAAAGAAAGGTCATGTGAAACGTAAAGAAACTGGATTCATGACAGTGAAATGCCACCTTGGTGCAACTATTGTCGGTATTCTTACTCATATAGAAGCACATGACAACCGGAGTGACAATTATTAACATAGGTAGACGATAGCCTTTCTAAAGATAATGACAGCAGATGCACCAGCAAGATCAAATTAACGTCAAAAGTTCCAGAACAGTGGATCCGAACGTAAAAGTAAGTTCGGCAAACAGATAACAGAATGAATACCGGGTCATGCGGAAAAATATCGAGTGACACACACGTACCGATTTAAATTCCTCGTAATTAATGTATCCATCACAGTCGACGTCCGCTTCCGCCATAGTCCGTTCACCGATTCTATTAATCTACAAGAACCATGACAATCAGGCTAGGGCGCTTCGTCGAGAGTTAAACTAATTTGCCGACATGACAACTAAGTTCCATGAGAAACTAGCATGCAAAATATTTTGGTAAAACCATTTGCCAGCTTTAAACGGGCCTTTTACATAGGGGAAACTCACGTTTTGTCTACCTCTTTATTTGCTACTGGCTCACTGATTCCCCTTCCTCCGTTTACTCAAAAACCCTAACTATGGTACCTCCGAGGAGACTGACAAATGAACATTTTTTTATCCCAAATTACCTTTGAAATACATACCGGTTACGTTGGACTTGTTGTTAACTACGCCGTTACTTACCTGCTCCGTGGTGACACTGGCCCCCACCATCATTTGCAAGACACCCAGCAGCTCACTCCGGGATATTTGGTTGTCGAAATCGAGATCGTACATTCCAAATAGGAAGCGCAATTTCGCCTCGCGATTATTATATTCAGTGACGCCACTAG